ACTACTGTACTACAGTAATAGTTTATAGACTGAACGTCTTCAAAGGAAAGAAAACTCAAAACTTCAGAACAAAAGGCAGGTACAACTTAAAATAACAGTGTACTATTAGGGTGTGTTCAATGTCAGGGGTAAAATAAGAGCAAAACCACTATTACAAATGTTTAATTTGTGCATTCATGATGGGCAACAAACGACTGCAGAAATGCAATTTCTTTTTTACACCGGGCTGAACAGCAACAGTTATGTGACATGAGTATTGGTGTACCATCCATAGTTTTTGTCTGTCCTGGAAACAACATGCACAAGCGAAGAATAAAAAAAAAACAAACTTTGTACAATCTATTTTCATCATTAAGAAACGTAGATAATTAAACTATTGATAAAATTAGTGCTTTCAGCTTAATTGTGTACATACAGTATGTATATATAATATACCCTGCCCTCCCCTGTAGTGATTCATATCAACAGGTCTCCAACATTTGAGTCAGTTTATATATAACATGCAAATTGACAGAAAGTTATCAGCTGGTTCCACTGAAAATTTTAAATGATCACCCAACAAGTGTGGTGAGCATTTAGCTGGAGACCTAAAATAACTTGAGTTTAGTATGTTCCCAAAAAACAGCTCCTCACTTAGAGTTTGCACAACACATCTTTGCTTCATCTGTCAATGGATTCACCGTCAGTCAGTCAATCAGAATTTAGTTCAACCATGAGTTGTTTGTCTGCTGCTTTAAGAGGGACAGGATGAATTTGGTTTTGGTAGCTGTAACTGTGCAACTCACTTTAGTGTTTTCACTTTGACTGAGGTAACAAGAAAAATGCTGTCAGGTCCACCACAACCGGCTGTTCACTGAGGAATGAAACAGCACAAAAATAATGTAGTCCAACTGAACTCAGCTCTGAAAAAAATAATTCATTTAATGTTAAGGTTTGATTTTATTGTTCCAAAAGATACTGCAACACCAAGCAGCACTTTGATCTTCAGAACTGAGTTCAGCTGAATATCAACCTCGAGCTATACAGCCACTAGAGGGCATCAGACAAAAAAAATAATTAAATATTTTGCATTATTTCTTCTGGCAAAGGGGATTTTTAATTATCAACTCATTAACAAATAAAACTGAGTTGTGGTTATTAATCTAACAGCTTAAGCAGCACGTAGCACTGCATGGACTGCTATTTTATACTGTTATTGTACGCAGACATGAAAGCTTCAGGTAAGCAAAGTGAGGTTGAAAAACAGGTTGTGTTCAAAAACTGGGCCCCTAGACAAAAATTAATGTAGTGTGAAGACTCTTACTTGTATTTCAAGTCAAGAAGCAGCAGTAGTAGTCAAGATGTTTGCTGTAGTTGACCGTTCGGTGATCAATGCTTTGAGCACTTCTGATTCACCGAACACCAGTTTCAGACATGATTGTGGCGGAAATGTCAAACTTTACAACGAGATAAAACGTCCTTAAGCTATGGCGAGGGCTTGTACTTAAAGAAAAACACAACAATAAAATACAGGACTGAATATAATCTGTACAGATCAAAAAAACTGAAGACAGTGACACTGAATAACATGATTGTGATGTTGCCGTCTTCTCAGAGTTCATATAAAACATTCTCAGTGGTCAGACAATGGACACGACGACGACGACAATGTGTGCAGGAGGACGAAGCATCCCTCCTCCTTCACTCTCCAACAACAGTTTCATTTTTCTTTTTCTTAAAAAAAAAAAAAATGTTCTTCATGTGGATTAAAAAATAAGTGGGGGTCCTCAGGAGGCTTCTGGACTTTCTTCTCAATGGCACAGAGTTTTTGCCCGAAGGCTCGGGGAGCCATGCTTGCTGCTCCTCCTCAACATTTTGGGCGAGGAAGAGGAACGTTTTAAAATGATGTGAGCTACAGTCATTGCTGTGTTGGTTGGTTCACAGTGTGTGTGTGTGTTGGTTTGTGTGTGTGTGTGTGTGGTTGTGTGTGTTTGTGTGTGTTGTGTGTGTTTGTGTAGACAGGGGGGTCATGGTGAACGCTAACACCAGTCAGCGAAGTTAGGATCAAACTCAACGAGATTAAATAAGGTATGTTTCTGCTCAGATCTGAAGGAGTTACAAGCGCTTCCTTGGGTTCCCTCGCGGGGTTAAGGATCGGAGCCATCTGAGGTTAAATTCTCATTCAAAGTTGCATGACGTCAGTTGGCGTCCTGAATAATCGCTTCGAAGGCGTTCACCTTCTGGCCCAGAATACGTTCAATCCATGTTCTGCCCAAAGGAAACAGACAGAGGGTACCTTTATTTGAGTTTTTAAAATTGAATAGTCATTCAATTTGGAAATGCTCCAGTGACTATAGGAATGTCTCGGATGAGAAATGAGTTGAGACCACCTTCAATAACTTTCTGTTAAAAATAAAGCTTAGCTTGACTTATACATTAAGACTAAGCTAGCTGGGTCGATCATGTTAAAAAGTGTTAAATTGTGTTTTCATTGCTTACCTTGAATTTGAGATGCTTATATATTTGTTCTTAATACCTCTCGCGTCCTTTTCTCTGCCCAGTCGGCGTTACTGGGTAATCTTCCTCCTGCACGGGTTTAATAAGTGAAGACTAAAGGAGATACATTCCAAAATAGGAAAGTAAGAAGTGTAGGATGATGGTTACGATATTATGCACTAAAAAAGTGTAAATATCGGAATTATCGGTATCGGGTTTTATTATAGGAACGATGGTGTTGTTTCTGTATGGCTTCTGCTTTCTCTGATCTGCTCTATGAACTGTATATTCATGGGATGGTTTTACCGGCGCGTTCTAGAGAGTCGACGTGAGATAAGCAAAATTAAAATGCTAAAAAATAGACTGGGTTGTTTTTAACGTGGCTTAACACAGAGAAATACACTTTAAAAGTGTATATTTGATTTTTTATATAAATAAACAAAAAAATAAGCTTATTTTTAATATTTTTATCTTTATGGCTGGTTCCGTAACGATATTTGATACTAGATCAATTAGGGTACTTAGGAAGTATTATTAATGTAAGCTAATAATTGACAACGGATGCAAATTAATCAATTACAAGGCACAATTCAACAATTAAGGCTAAATTGCTTAGCTAGGTGATTAGGCTGTAGCGCTCTTTTCAGTATATTATAATCTCAAATGAAAAGTTGGCAAGATCGTTCTGTTATGTTATTGTATCAAGAACAGTGGGCCTGTTGAATAATGGGAGAAAGCAAGTAGCTCTACAGTTACATGATTATGAATTTCTAACGTGGTGTATGTTGGGTGGTCCGTATATTTATGTCACGCTCCTTTGAGAAGATCGCTGTCTGGGCTATGTGAGAAATCTGCAATTCTCTTCCGTCCTTTATCGAGGAATGACTTTAGAACACAAAGCAGTCACGAAATTTTACGTAAGGACACGAATTGAGTCTGTATGTTTTAAAAGTCAGTGATGTAATAATTGACTAAAAAAGTGTGCAAAATAAGTAAATTTAGTGGGTGAGAGCTGTTTCGTTGTTCGTGATGTGTACAGTTTCTAATCTATGTTAATTTTTCTTATATTACAATGATGTGTATTCGCGCACTTAATCTTCGTGTGTGGGTTTTGATACCTACCAGACTCAACATAATATATGCTCCAGCCTGAGATGTATGTTTAATATGCTTTTATTAACCCGTAATAGATTTACTTTTTTTTGTTCATTACACGTGATTATAATTATTTGTATGCTAGCTAGAAATTTGTAGTGATGCTAAGCATCGTGTATGTTACATGGACACTGCAAATTTCTGAAGGTATAGTATGCTTTCTAATATACTACTTGATGTATCAGCTATAGACTCTAATTATCTGACTTGATTACATAGGAAGACCAGATAATGTGAGGGCTCCGATGCAATGTTCTTTATCCCTTTATGGATGGATTCAGATATTAGAGAATATAGAGAAAAGTGTATAACTGATGGTTCTGTATTTTGTTCTTTCATTTTAGAGCACTTTTTGCTGAATCTGAATTGGAAGGGGCTCAAATGTTGTATTTCCATGGAGCTGTTTTTCTTGTAATCATATTAATATTATTATGCTAGATCTAATATAATGGTGAATCAGACTGTTTGTATGCACCTTATGTTAATCTGGTGGAAAATTAATATAACATGTATTGTATCATTTTTCAAACTACCGTTCTTATACGAGAAACAGGAAACCTAATTTTTTGATTGCCAGTGTCCGCTTGATAAAATTCATGTCAAGATAGTGTGTACTTTTATTGATAGTGAACTGGGGAAGGCAGGCTCATGTGTTAGATCAGAATATAAACAGGATGTCAGATGGCGCCGATACTA